TTTACGTTTCTGTGATATTTTAGCCCATCTCTGTAAATTTCCCCCGCCCCTCTGCAGAACGCTCATTTTATTTTCCTGTGAAAAAAAAAACGGGGACAGGTCTCCCGCCACAGGGGTCTGGTCTCCCTCCACAGGGGTCTGGTCTCCCTCCACAGGGGTCTGGTCTCCCTCCACAGGGGTCTGGTCTCCCTCCACAGGAAGTGCTGCCGCTCCAACAGTTAGTACCTTCTATTAAACTAAAGGTGAAAGCCGGTGACTGCATAAGGAAGTGTCTTGACAATAAACCTATGGTGGTTGCTTTTTTTCTGCCCAGACAACAGCTTCCAAGACATATCATAAGGCCAGGGGCTGACTTCATAAACTAGGCAGAGAACCAGTTCCAGCTAAACCAGAGAATTAAAGATGCAGACAAGGATACATACAACTAAGGCTGACGTCTCCATAGGGCAATGGAAGCAAAGGGGAGTGCAGGGGATGCTGCGTATATCTCAGGATGGGGTTCCTCCTGTATGTCTGCTCCACAGCTTCACTGTTCAGGCTGTTCTCCTAATAAAAAAAAAGAAAGAAAAGTGACAGATATCACAACAAGAAAACGTTAACACTCATACGTAAAGGAAAATGTAAATGTGATTTGAAGAGCCTACACAGACTATTTCATTTCTGGCTTCCCCTGCAGTAATAAGTGTGCATTATACCACCTGTAAATGCAGATGTGCATGGGGTTGGCCATACTTGGTCATTACATAAACATGTTGTGCTTTCTACCTACCAGTGCAGCTTAGTGACTGTGCCAATGGACACACCTCTACCAACAGATTTCTGCTGTGTACTATGTGTGACCTATCCCATAGTTGTATATTTTTCCAGCAATTGTTCAACAAGGATGCTTAAGGATGTATTTATAAACAATTTACAGAGCCATTCATCCTGCTAAACATAGAATGTTCTGTGCAAATGGAGGCAAAAGTGAATGTTTTTAGTAAGTTTTCTTTCCAGGTTGAATGTAATATGTGGGAAATACCACAGTATGGTCATTAAATGGAGCTGAAGAGCATAGGAAATGAATACTACTTTCCTAAGTTCATCAGCTCCATCCAGTAGTAGTAATTTTAGTAAACTTTCACCTTTCCAGCCCTCATTTTGTAGTTTTCAGAGTAAGCAGCAGTTTTAAGATATGTTCTGTGAATGAGAACATGTAGCAGTGATGTGCGGTACCGGGGTGAGGCATTCCCCCTGCACGCCCCAGCAGGCCCTGTAGTTAACAGGCAACGCTCCGTTCATGAAAGGTTGCACAACGGGGAGGCATTCCCCGCTCTGTAACCTGTTACAAGCCGATCTGAATGGAGAAAAAGCTTTTTCCTCCATACTACTAGGTGGGGCTCTGCCTCACCTGCCTCCCCTGACTGCACGTCCCTGACATGTAGTAGATCTAAAAGGTAGGTGTTATCCTAATGTGGCTACAACAGTGGAAATGCACTTTAAGTGGATACATTTATTACAATATCATTGTGTGATTATAGTCTTTTAATAAATAGGTTCTCTTAAAATAACATGAAATAAAGATGTATTATTTACCTTGATGTCTCGGATGAGCTGCTGCGTTGGGGTCTCTATGGGGGATTTGCTATCAATCACTCCCTGAATGGCGTTGGCCCATCTCATGGCTTCATTTAGCAGCTTGGTGTAGAGTCGGTATGAGTGTTTCCTTCCATAGACCACAATATTCCAGTATCCTGCAACAGGAGGAAGGTCAACGCTCCATATATGATGACTGTACAGCAATGACACTGCCACATACCACTGCCATTTACATACCGGTTTCGGTGTGGGTCTTCTCATCGGGTTGCATCACGGAGCACAGGCTGTTCAGAACTAGGGTACCGAGCTTTGAGGCCGTCCTCTCCGATGTCTTGTAGTAATCCAGAGCATTTCGGGTCAGCACAAACCAGCGCCGTTTTAGCTTCAGAGAGGCCATTTTGTTGCTGTTTTGAACCTCCTTGTGGAGCCAACCTAAGACAGAGAGACATGGGAGCCGTAAGGAGAAACAGAAGACACCTTTCATGAAGGTCAGGACGACATACGAAGAGGTCGTTTTCACCAAAGCCTGGAATGTTCTGGTAGGATGGAAGCTGGGTGGGAAGAAGCAGCAGTAGTAGGTGGACTCACCACGGACGAGGAACTCTTGGCCGTCCACCTTGGCCTCTCCTCGCGGTTTCTGCAGCAAAGAGATCCAATGGTGCATCTCCTCCGCGATGTCCGTGTTGCAGTGAATGACGCGGTTTGCAGTAATTATCACAAAGGAGTTTGGTCTATATTAGCATGAGAAACCAAAAATAATTAAAATGGAGATACTCCTGAGAAAGATATACATACAGAAAGATTTAAGCAACCAATAGCTCCTAACCAATCTAAAACAAACAGAAGTTCTGCTCAAATGGCAAGTAGTGGTATGTCCCATCCAATTGGACTTTTCTTCTGTAATGTTGCTTATCCAAACATCATCTTCAGTTCTTCAGCTGCTTGGATAAGCAGCGAAACGTCCCCAACATTACAGGAAAAGTCCAGCTGAATGTAAAGTGATGAAACAGTAACAGCAGACCTGTTCCTTTGTCTACTATGGGGAAAGTATACAGGTTCACTTTATGCCCTAGACACTCAGCACTGGGTCACATGATCCTTAGTTGCATGTTACTCAAATCAGTCGCTCTGCATTTTGTGTTTCTGTTTCTTCAAAAGGAAGAGTTTATCTTCCAATGACTCAACTAAAATCTGCTGCTTTGTCTGCAGTGAAATGCTGTGGTCTTTGCAGCACATTGGCTCAGTGGTTAGCTCTTCTGCCTTGCCGCACTGGGGTCTCTGGTTTGAATCTCAGCCGTGACATGGAGTATGCATTTTCTATCTGTGCTTGCATGGGTTTCCTGCAGGTACTCAGGTTTATTCCCGAGTACCTTATACACTTCTGTCCTGTGCATTTAGAGACCTTAGATTGTAAGCTCCTTGAGGGCAGGAACTGATGTTAATGTACAGTATGTAAAGCACTGTGTAAATGGAAGATGCTATTTAAATACCCGAAATAAATGATAAATCAGCTGACAGAACGTGGGACAATAACTGGGATACAATGTGAAGGAGTTGCTAAAAATCGGAAAATTGTATACTTACCTATCGGTAATTTTCCTTTCCTGGCGCATAATGGCAGCACACAATGGGTTAAGAGGC